AGAGAGAGAGAGAGAGAGAGAGAGAGAACGAAAGAAAGATGATCAGATAGGGCAACGTATATTCGGTCAACGCTTGCAAGGATAATACGGTTAGGACAAAGCCCCAACTCCGAGCTGCAACTCGGAACTTATCGATCTCCTTCATGTGCACGCACACACCGTGCCACCATTCCACGACAAGGACGTACGGGAGGACCAAAAATGGGGCTCCCGCGCGGCTACCCTTTTAAGCGTTCCGCCGGCGCGTCGTTATTGTTTCGGTGGTGCGTCGCTGCATAAAGTGCCACGGAACAGGAGGGGGCTGTCAATTTAGCGCTGCCTGCGCCAACGGAAGGTGAAATTACATTCTCCTATCTTGTCTCGGGCCGCGCGCTCCCCCATCTCCTCCGCATCCCTTCTTTCTATCCTTCCTCCTCTATCTCCGATTCGCTCTCTACGGGCCTCCTCGAGTTTGGCTGTTGCCGCGCGTTGGCATCCGCGCGGTTGCGCTACCACCTACACCGGCCCACTGACTACAAGAACGGAGTATAATCGGAGCCGACCGCTCGGGCGAATACCCGATCCCGCTAATAGGAAAGCCCTGCTATGAAAATACCACGAATAATTGCCTCGAATAATGCTCGGCCGGTACCGGGCATTACAGTAAATTCAGCGAAATGACTCTCCGAGGCCCCCGACTCCCTCTCCTTCTCATCGCGAGTGCGTTCCACTCCGCGTGTTACGTCCGCGAAATACTGGCTGCTGCCGTCTCTTCTATCCCGAACGTGTCCCCCTTTCTTTCTCGCTTCTCCCACGACGCGCGGTCGCTTGCCGCCACGTTAAAAGCTCCTCCAAGAAGAATCCCGTCGGCGAGTAAATCTCATCGCCGGTATAGATAGAGGTCGGAACCTGCGGGAACGTTGTGCGTCCACGTTTTCCTCCACGATCCGCGCTCCTCCGGTCCACCTTTCATGGTTTCAGACTCTCCCGCCTTTCGAACGCGCGAGTCGCGCGTCGTAAAGCAGAGCGAACGAACACGATGATTACTAAAAGCGCGCGCTGCGAGAGCTCGCCTCGTAGCAAAGCTACGACCGACGACCGACGACCGACAACCGGCGGTATATATCGCCGGTTTCGCGCTTATCTAGACCGGCGCGACCGTGTATCAGACGAGCGCATTAGCGCGCTCTGCAAAGGGCTTCGCGTCCCTACGCCGATACCTCGAAGGACGAGGAGGTTGCT